GGTAGCAGCACCCAGGCCATCCCTACAAAGGACCATTTATCAGTTATTTTGGGAAAGGGATTTTTTTAAGAAAAGAGGAAACTAAAGCAATAAGCTTTTTGTTTGCACTCATTCCCCACTGAGATCGTGAATCTGTATGGCTCGGTCCGTCACATATTTAGTTTTCAAGGCAAATGAGGTGATATGGAGACACATGGTTCATGTGAGTAATAAAATATACTCTGGAAAGTAGCTTTCACTTCCCCCAACCCCCAGTGAGGCACCTCAGTCAGGAAGTTTGTTTCTTCAATGAGAGCCTTAGTAAAATATAGCAAGGGCTGCAGATTTCTAGAAAAATGCACACATATGTTTACAATATATGTGAAGGAAAAGAAAGCCAAAGAAAGGAGATAAAAGAAACAGTAATTACATGGAACTGAAAAAATTAAAACCAACAAGAACAATACTTGCTCTATGAGGGTATTCTGCAAACCGCATCCTTCCCAGCTGCCCAAGCAACCCAGGATGCTCCCACTTCTTGGCTCAGATGTTGGTGCCAAGCAATGGCTTTTACTCACATACTCCTTCCTGGAGCTTTTGCTGATGGCTACACTTTCTGAAGCCCCTTTAGCTGAGAAAGGACCTGGGGAGTGAGGATTCTCTTGAGGCTAAGTGTGAGCTGATGGACAGGTTGAATCTAATGATGCTTGAAATGTCTCAGGTGAGAAAGGAAATGTTCTAGGGTATGAAATACTAGAGCTGTTGGACAGAAATGCAACAGTCTCCAAGTTCCTAGGTGAATTATTCTGTTTGTCCCCCACCCCCAGTCTGTGTGTGTGTGTGTGTGTGTGTGTGGTTTGTGGCTGGAACCAGACACAAAAGATCTTGGGAAAAGTCTCTAAAACCAAAATATAACTGGGGGATGAAGTCATTACCTGAATTATGTGCCTGATAGGAAAAACCTCAGGTGTGAAGGCTGATGGAGCGGGCAGTACCTTGGCCAAGATGATATACTCAACAGATGCTGCCGTGAGAGGGGTGAAGGGTCAATAACATTCTTACAAGGACAAGGGTGGGCAAGGCCGGCTGCAGAGGCGAAGATTCCAGAAAGGGGATTCTGTCGATGGAGTGAATTACACAGCAGTGGAGGAGGGGGAGAATATGCTACAAATGGTGAAGCAATCTCCCTGAACAGGCTCTGAGTTGCAGCCCTCCATGTCCCCAGCAACTGTACACATGCTTTGGGGTTGAAGTCTCAACTGGCTAATGGCTAGATATTGGATTTATGCAGGTGATCAAAGCAACAGCAATCAAAACCAACAGTTGGAAGGCATTTGAGCTGGTATGAATTCTGTATTCTGTAACTGCTGAGCAGACCAGCAGGATCTCTGTGCCCTGGCACATCTCCCTTGGGGATTAATGTATTCAGAGTTCATGACCAGTGGATGCAGGGAACAGGGAATTTCTAACCCAGGGTACTCTGCTCTGGTTCTGTCTGCATGTCCATTTGGTTAGAGAGGTACTTCCTTTTAAGCCCACATCATTAGTGAGACTCCAGGAGTTAGGTGATAAGGTATCTTATGGTCACACAACAACTGGAATGTGGTGGTAGTTAAGCAGGTAACAGGATCCTGTCACGATGGACCACATGGAACTGCAGAATGGGATGCTGCATGTGGGGAAGATTCCCAGTTCTTCTTATTCATGGTCTAAGAGGAATACTACAGAAATTTACACAACATCAAGTATTTCAGGCAAGAGGAGCAAATTGACCCGAACTAGTTGACAGTCTACAAATTCTATGACAGGGTGAAAGAAAGATGCTCTCAGTCATTTAAAATCTTCAGAAATGTGGGTCAGCTTCTGATGCTGACTCAGCACTGAAAGGCCAGGCCCTGTATTACCAGAGGTTAGATGAGGCTCGCTGCAATTTATAGTTGCATTTATATAAATACAGCAAAACAGCTGATTTCTTTAAAACTGATTGTTCTCTTCTATATACCTTTCTGTTTCTTGTAGAATCCTGCTTACATGATTATTTTACTGTTTGGTGAAGAAAGATTTCCTTAGAACCTGGTCAGTCCTGACACACTATATATTTTACTTCCATGACTGATTTAATCATAAGAACAATATTACATGCTATTTGTTACTTTTTGAAAGTTTAACCTAATTTTCTTGTAGAACTGTGGATAGAATCCAGGACCTCAGGCATGTTAGGTAGATGCTCTATCACTGAGCCTAGTCCTTAGACTCATAATTTTATCTTTTTAAGTTAAATTATTTTTTGAGGTATTGGAAATTTTGTTTTTAATCAGTAAATAACAGTTGAATAAATTTATTCCAGGTCTGGGAAATCTAACATTCTCTTCTGACCTCTGTGCGTACCAGGAACACATATGGCTCACATACATACATGCCAGCAAAACACTCACACACATAAAATAAACAAATCTTAAAAATAAATGCATGACATATTATCATTCATTATATCCACTCTACAAGGCAGTATATTACTAGAACGTACTCCTCCTCTCTATGGACTACTACTACATTCATAGGTGCAGAGAGCTGAGAGCTTGAGAATTTTTTCTTTTTTATAAAAGATTTGTTTTGTTTCTTGAGACCAAGTTTCTCTGCGTAACAGCCCTGGCTGTCCTGGAACTCAGTTTGTAGACCAGGCTGGCCTCAAACTCACAGAGACTCACCTGCCTCTGCCCTCCAAGTATTGGGATTAAAGATTTGTACCACTATGCTGGCTTTATTTTTTTCTTAAATAGTGTGTGTGTGTGTGTGTGTGTGTGTGTGTGTGTGTGTGTGTGTGTACAAGAAGAGGCATTGGATCCCCAGGAGCTGGAGAAAATAGGAGGTTGTGAGCTCCCTGATATGGTACTGTGAACTGAACTCGGGTCCTCTGGAAGAGCATAACCACTGAGCAATCTCTCCAGTACCAGATCTTAACAAATTTTATCTTTCACAAATGCAAACATAAAAAACAATGGCATCTTCTCATTTACTGAGGAAATCTTAATGTCTTTCTGTACACGGACACGGCTTAAACACTTAAACACGCAAAGATACACTGGCTACTGGGGTGATAAACTTTGACAGAGTAAAATTTACACACACACACACACACACACACACACACACACACACGGATAAAATAATGAGTACTCTTAAAGTGCTGTTTTTCCAGCTTTCCAGATATTTGTGTTCCCTAACAGGATGCAATTCAGCCCCCACACAAATGCAGCACACCTGTCCCTTCTCCAGGATTTGCCTCCCTGTCCCTCTTATACAATGTTTCCAATGCAAGCTACAGTTTTCATGATTACAGTTGCTGAGGGTTTTTTTTTTTTTTGGTTTTACGAGACAGGGTTTCTCTGTATTGTTTTGGAGGCTGTCGGTCCAGCCTGGCCTCGAACTCACAGAGATCCGCCTGCCTCTGCCTCCCGAGTGCTGGGATTAAAGGCATGCGCCACCAACGCCCGGCTACAGTTGCTGAGGTTTTAACATGTGACTTTTCAGTATTTGGGGATTGTGATTTGGGGGACTTTCAGACTAGAGTTTCAACCCTTCAGGGTTCTAACGTTAGGACTGTGGGGTTAGAGGTGGATTATGGTTGACACAGCATCTGAGTTTGGGTATCTAGAGTTCAGGTCCTCTTTGATTCCCTAAACGCTAATGAAACCTTGGAGAGGAGATCAACTGTAGGGAAGTGTGGCTCTCTCATTTACCAAGTAGGATGGTTAATTGTAATTATGCTAACCTCATTCTCATCATTGTGACTAAATACATGGCATGAACAACTTACAGGATAGATTTATCTAGACTCACATTTTTGGAGGTTTCAAACCATCATGGCTGGGAGGGCATGCTGGAGCAAAACAGCTTACCTAATGACAGCCAGGAAGCAGACAGAATGCTGAGCTACCTGGCTTTCTCCCTACACCTTTTATTGCCATCCCATAGGACAATGCCATCCACAAGTAGAGCAATGATGTTAATCCTCAATTAATCCAATCTGGAAACATCTATGTAAACACATCCAGCAGAATGCTTTGTTAATCTAAGTGATTCTAAGTTACTCAAGTTAACAATCAAGATTGACTATCAAGAAAATAATAACTAGTATGAACACCTACCTTGCTGACCTCTCAGGGCTATTATGAGCCTCACAGGGAATAAAATGTATGAGGGTGTTTTCTGAATTCTCAAAGCGCACTACACCTGTTTGAAGCCATAATTATTGCAATCAGCAAAGTGTCAATTTCTGCCCCCTGTCACTGTGGGTGGAGTCTTTCCCTCTCTCCTCTATCTACAGGTCACTGGTGTCAGTACAGAAAGCTCCATCACCACACGGTAATTTGATGTTGCATCTTGTGAGACATGCTCGATGTGGGGCAGCCTCTTGTTACAGCTTGATGAATGCATTAATTTTCAGAAGCAGACACAAGGAGAAAGGACATGACTGAATTAAGGTTTTATGTGTATTTCCCAGAGGAATACACAACTGAACCATAAATGCTAAATTGAGCCTTCTGAAACACTGATAAAGAGCCTCATTCTCAAATAGTCTCAATCCTTGAATAGTGTCTCTGCTTCACATTGGCAGATATGTGTGTTATATAGCGTGTGTCTGCTCTGGGGCACTCACTCACACATGATTAGGGAATAGGCAGGAAGAGAAGGTGCGAAGGTTTTATAAAATGACTCCATTTGTGAATAATATTACACAATAGCGAATAATTTCAGCATCAGTCCACATAGTGATTACCTTGGCTTCAAGAATTCAAGACTCCATTTTGAGGTGTCAGAGGCAGATAGAAACTCACCGCAAGGGGCCACTTTCATAAACGAGTACTTACAATACATACAAGATACTGGCCATGGGTTTATCTTCTACTGTCAACTCAGCTGAAAGCTGAGTATAGCTCAGGTGGCAGCATTCTCAGAGCCATTCTTGTGGTATTCTAATAGTAAGAAGAACCTGAAGGGTCATTCTGTTTTGTCTTTAGGGAAAAACTTACAGGGATTGGAGTCATCTTGATCTTCCAATGGGAAACATACTTAAGGCTAACCTGAAGTCATCTACAAACCTAACATTTATCTTCAGTGCTGTGAGGACCTAACCAAAGACATTTGAGATAAAAAGAGATTGTTGGCATTACTCCCAGAAGACACTTGGATACTGTTTTGTGTGATATAATGCCAGGGTGAAAACTGCCTCTTTCAATAAAACTTTATCAAGTACCTGCTGTGTAACAGGTGCTTTCCTGCACACACTGCACTACCTACCTCCTTCTCCTCTTATATGTTCCACACTTACATACATACGTGCAAACACATGCACATACATGTACATACACACCCTTCAAATAGGCTGCTAAACTAGAGGGAAGCCCTCTAGCGCCTTCATAACCTCTTTTGCTCAATTCCTAGGGAGCAGCAATTTGACAATCAGGGAACCATCCTTTGTTGGCACTTTGCTCCTTCCTCAGGACAAGTTACCACATGGGGCTAAGCTGACTAGCTCTTCTGGGCAAGGGGATTTGTGCCAACCATTTACTGAGCCAGATGGACTTTCAAATCCTGGGCAAAGGGACAATTCCACAGAGGACATTGTACACTAATTCCAGCCCCTTCATTATGCAGCTGAGAGGGCAGTGTGCTCAGCCTCAGTTTGAGACTCTACAGGAGGACACGTTGGGAAAGGAAGCTGCAGGTCCGTGCCTGGGCAAGGTCCTTCCAGCCCATGGAGCTGTCTTACTACCTGCTTACCAGGCCAGGTTTTGTACCATCACAGTAAAGAACTGATCCCAGTGAGATAAATATGCTGAGTGAATGAGACAGATAGGTTGAGAAAAGAAAGGCACCTGGCTTTGTAGAAGAAGATAACCTGGGTATCTAAACCACTCAGACTTACAGGTTGTCATCATCTCTGTAAACAGAGACAACCACGATCACCCCAATGAAATCATAGCTCCTTGCTCCTTTTGTATAAAGATAACTCATTTAGTAACAATAGTCCGTAAACTCATAAGTGCCATTAAGTTTATGGGATTGCTCCCAGTCTGAGACCCTTTGAGCTATCAATTTTGTTTTTAACAACTTCCCTGGGACCTCTGAAAGCACAGTAGTCAGTTTGGGTCTGTGCTGAAGCTGTTTCTAATGCTGTCTTTCTTCAGCTCAGGCATGCAGTAAAGGCAAATGGTGCAGTAGAAGCAAATATCAGAATCCATGGATGTCTGCCCATAATCCCAGTGTTCCTGTGATGAGACGGGAGTCAGAAATAGGAGCATCCCTAGAAGGGCACAGGCCAGCTAGCCTGGTGGAGGCAGCAACAAACAACAGAGACCCTGTACCAAACAGGTGGAAGGGTTGAAAGCCAGAGGGTGTCCTCTGACCTCCATGAATCCCTCCTTCCCACATGCACACATGCACACATCACACACCACACACACACACACACACACACACACACACACCACAACACACACAACACACACAACACACACATAAACACACCACACACACCACACACACACACATAAACACACCACACACATATCCATGCATACACACACCACACACCACACACACACACCACACCAACCACACACCACACATCACACACCACACACACCACACACATGCACACACATGCACACATCACACACCACACACACACACACACCATACACCACACACACACCACACACACACCCATGCGCACACCACACACACCACATACACATAAACACACCACACACACACCCATGCGCACACCACACACACCACATACACATAAACACACCACACACACACAGCCATGCACACACACACACCACACACCACACACACACCACACACACCACACACCACACATCACACACCACACACATATACACACATGCACACATCACACACCACACACACACCACACAGCACACACACACATACCACACACCACACACACCACACACCACACACACCACACATACCACACACCACACACACCACATACACCACACACACCACACACCACACACACCACACACACCACACACCACACACACCACACACCACACACCACACACACACATAAACGCACCACACACACAGCCATGCACACACACACCACATACACACACCACACCACACACCACACACATACACACACACATGCACACATCACATACCACACACACCACACACACACATAAACACACCACACACACCACACCACACACACAGCCATGCACACACACACACCACACACACACCACACCACACACCACACACATACACACACACATGCACACATCACACACCACACACACCACACACACACATAAACACACCACACACACCACACACCCACACACCACACACACACACCACACCACACACCACACATGCACACATCACACACACCACACACCTTTGCATCAAGCACCTTCAATAACTTTAGTGCAGGTGGACCACAGGTCACACTTGGGAAAAATGTTCTTCCAGAAAATCTTGATGGCAGTTAGCATCTTTATTCAGTCATTGATACAGTGATAAAATGTTCTTCCCAACCCTAGGATTTGGTTCATTTGCATTATAGAGAGAGGAAAACCAAATCACACCAAATCTGAAGTTAGCAAACCAGTTCCAATTCCTAAATTTGCAAGAAAATGCCTCAGAATTCCTTCTGCAGAGTCCACACTTAGCTCCCAAGATCTCCAGCTTTGTAAGGAGAAAAGGAAAAATGGGGTGTAATGAATTTGCTTTCTATTTCCATTTTGTCCCAGCATAAAGGAACATGCGTCATTGGACTCCTCCAAACGGGGCCAGGCTAATACCGTCACTTCCAGCTACGGCTTCACTCTGCACAGAAAGATGTTTCTATACTGTGATACTGACAGGAGTTGGACTGCTCTTGTTTGGCATTCATCCACAGCCACGAGACATGCTCAGCTGACTGCTCTTTATGCCATGACTTCCTTGTTCATGGTAGCAAAGGTAGTTATCAATGCTAGAGATGAAACAGAACCACTTGGCAAGAGCCCCTCCCCACAAAACACAGAATGGTGCCCATAGCTTTGTTAGGCACCTACTCCCTGCCTCCATGAAACACACTTCAGCTAACAAACTTTGGGTGTTAAGTAGATGATCTGATTCCAAATAGAACCATGCTCCATTCAGGCTTCTGCATGAAGAAGAGCTCTCTGAAGAAAGGCTACTCACACAGGAGCACACTGTTGAACACCATGACTCATAGAAGTTCATATGCCATGTACTTCAAACATTTACAAAATTGTCCCATGATAAATGTTTGTAGCTGTGACTTCCGCTTATGTCATCATGAGAGAAAGTATAAAGCCAGGTACAGAGGGAGTTTCTCTCCTCCTATCCTGATCATATCTGTATGATCAGGTATCCAGCATATCAGCCTTGAGGACTAGAAAAGAGATGGCCTGCTACAGTGGTAGCAATTTCTCACAGCAGACAACGGGCCTTGAATGGCTTTGATGTGCCAACCCGTCAACCAGACTCAATTCTTCTACCTGACTTGTAGTTTGAGATACTGTCCTCTACTGCAAATAAACACAAGGCTGGGTATCAGAGATCAGTGGTCCACTCTATAGACCAGAGCTCACCTATTTTGGGGCTAGGACAGTCACTTACATCACTTCCCATGAAAAGGACCACAAAGGCGTTGGTTCCCATTTAAGCCTTCTTCCTTCAGCCTCCTTACCCTCCTTCTTCTAACCTACTGTTCCCAGTCAGCCCTACACAGAGGGGCATGTTGCCTCCTCTTGGTAACTGTAACAAAACTTTCCCTTCCTTCCTCCCTCCCTGTCCTCTCCCTTCTTCCTTCTCTGCCCCCTCTCTCCCTTCCTTCTTTCTTTTTTCCTTCCTTTTTTTCTTTCCTGATAGGATCTCACTATATAGCTCAGACTGACCTGGAACTTGAAAAACTCCTGTCCTAACCTGTAGAGTGCTGGAGTTACAGACACAAGCCACCGTATCTGACATAAACCATCCTTTCAAAGGCAATTTACTTTCTGATCTATTGACCTCCCCGTACGTGCATGGCATAAAAACTCCTGAGACTGCTGTAGAAGTTTCTTAGTAAATGCCTGGCTCTTCTTAACCGTGTTAGTCGTCCCTTCACCTGGGTGTAAATCAGGACATTCCCGAACATTCTCTGAGAAACTTACTAAAAGAAAACTTGTCTCGATAGGATAAGATAGCGGTATAGTAGATGGATGCTGTAGAGGGAAGCAGCTGCACGCTGGCTCCCCCTGAGCTGTTGTCCCCTCTGTGTGCCACCATACCCCAGTGCAGATGGCGTGTGGAAGGAACCCAGCACATGCTCAGCGCTGCACCCATGGTAGCTTTGGCAGTTGCGCTTCTCGTACAACCAAAGCCTCCATGACTGTCATTTAACACCCTCTACATGAGGCTCTGACGCTTTGTGGGGAACAGGCTGTCTTATCAGAAAGCCTCAGAAAGGCAAAGGCAGAGAGATTGAATGGGGCTCAGAAGCTCACCCTTTGAGAGCTTGCCTTGCAACTCAGTGCCCCTGGGTATGCTGGGAAAACAGACTGCCTCGCACAATGGCCCGAAAAACATACCAGTCAGTGGAACAGAGTGAGCTGTGGGTAGCTATCGCTCTCTCTCCATCTATTCATTTGTGCTCACTGTCCTGTGAAAACCTGCTCTCTGTGAAATTGGTGGAGTCATGATTTTGGGGATAGACCATCTGCCTGGTCCCAAATGGGATTCATGAACTTGGAGGAATTTGCATTAACTGTTCATTGCAGCAAGAGGAATCCATTTATTTCACAGCTCTGAGATTTTGCACTTTTTTTAGAACCACAGCCTGCGTGCAAGGGTGTTGGGCCTTTCCATTAGCACTGTGGCCCCTTTTATTTTATTTTGCTTTACTCTTTCCAAATCCATTGCCTTCAACCTTAATATAATCAGCAGCAAATCCACTGTGCCTCGGTATTCCTCTCCATCCTATTTCAAATCAAAAGCCTCCATCCTCTGTGGGCCGTATTGTACATTTCTATTTTACATTAATAAACATGAAAATCATCAAAATGGGGGTATACTATTCTATCTGTTTGCAAAGAAGGAAAACCTAATTAGGTAAACAGAGGAATGGGAATGTTGATTAATTTAATTATTTGTTTAACCAAGGGCCAAACACAAAGCTCATTGCGGTTCTGACACCTGGAAA